ACGACACATCCTCTCCCCAACATACAGATACACTTTCTCTCTGAGGGCGTGATGGTGAGTGTGGGGGCGTGAGGGTGAGTGTAGAGGCGTGAGGTGAGTGTGAGGCTGTAGGGGTGAGTGTAGAGGGAGCTAGGCGTGACGGTGATATGAGGCTGTAAGGCGTGAGGGTGAGTGTAGAGGTCTGTGGCGGTGAGTGTAGGCTGTAAGGGCGTGAGGGTGAGTGCAGAGGGCTGTACGGGCGTGAGGGTGGGGGGAGCTGTGAGGCTGTGGGGGCTGGGTAAGGGTGATATAGGTCCACCATCACACAAGAGTTCAAATAAATAACTACGTGTGTATTGTTCAGTGTTTGATTGTGCGTGAAGCATTAGGGCCACAGGGCCACACTCTACCCCAGGGCCACACTCTACCCCAGGGCCACACTACCCCAGGGTTCACACTCTACCTCAGGGTTCACACTCTACCCAGGGCCCCACCTCACCCCAGGGACTCTACCCGAGGACCACCTCTAACCTAGGGCCCTCTGCAGGACCACACTCTAACCTAGGGCCACACTCTACCCGAGGGACCACACTCTACCCCCAGGGCCACACTATCCCAGGGCCACACTCTAACCTAGGGCCACCTCTACCCAGGGACCACACTCTAACCTAGGGCCACACTCTACCCGGGGACCACACTTACCCCAGGGCCACCCCAGGGCCACCTCTAACAGGGCCACATTCTACTGAGGACCACCTCTACCCGGCCACACACTATTCCAGAGCCACACTCTACCCCAGGGCCACACTCTACCCCAGGGCCACTCGCTACGCCAGGGCCACTATCAGGACCCTCGCTACCCCAGGGCCACACTATCTCAGGGCCACACACTATACCACCACCAACATATATCATCACCACCACCAACATATATCATCACCACCACCACCACCATCCCACATATCACCACCACCATCACACATATCACCACCACCACATTTCACCACCACCACATATCACCACAATCACCCACAACATATCACCACCACCATCACCACATATCACCACCACCACATATCACCACCACCATCACCACATATCACCACCATCACAACTACAGAGGGACCACACACTACAGCAGGTCTGAGTGGACAACTGCCAGGAGGAACATAAGGGCTAGTGCTCCTGACCACACTGGGGAGTACACACACTAAAAGTGCACACTAAACAAGGTATATATTAACAAAATTAACATATACAAGGTACACACTAAACAAGGTACACACTAATCAAGGTACACACTAATCAAGGTACACACTAAACAAGGTACACTAATCAAGGTACATACTAATCAAGGTACACACTAAACAAAATTTTACACTAAACAAGGTATACACTATACAGGGTACATTCTAAACAAGGTACACATATACAAGGTACACACTAAACAAGGTACACACTAATCAAGGTACATACTAATCAAGGTACACACTAAAAGGTACACACTATACAAGGTACACACTATACAAGGTACACATAATCAAGGTACACACTAATCAAGGCACACATAATCAAGGTACACACTTATCAAGGCACACATAAACAAGGTACACACACTAATCAAAATTTATATAATCAGGTACATACTAATCAAAGGTCACACACTAAACAAGGTACACACTATACAAGGTACACACTATATACAAGGTTAACACACTATACAAGGCACACACACTAAACAAGGTACACACTAATCAAGGTACATATAATCAAGGTACATACTAATCAAAATTACCTACAGGTACACACTAAACAAGGTACACATAATCAAAGAATTATACTAATCAAGGTACACATAAACAAGATTCACACTATCAAGGTACACACTATACAAGGTACACACTAATCCAAGGTACACACTAATCAAGGCACACACTAATCAAGGTACACACTATACAAGGTACACACACTAAACAAGGTACACATAATCAAGGTACATACTAATCAAGGTACACACTAAACAAAATTACTATACAAGGCACACACTATACAGGTACCAATCAAGGTACACTAATCAAGGCACACACTAAACAAAGTACACACTAATCAAGGTACATATAATCAAGGTCAACAGTACACATAAACAAAGTACTCACTAACAAGGTTACATTCTAAACAAGGTACACACTATACAAAGGTACACACTAAACAAGGTACACACTATACAAAGTACATACAAAATATACAAGGTACACACTAAACAAGGTACACACTAAACAAGGTACACACTAATATACACTAAACAAGTTTACTATACAAAGGTACATTCTAAACAGGTACACACTATACAAGTACACACTATACAAGGTACACACTATACAAGGTACACACTATACAAGGTACACACTATACAAGGTACACACTATACAAGGTACACACTATACAAGGTACACACTAAACAAGGTACACACTATACAAGGTACACACTAAACAAGGTAGAGAGGGTGGGAGATGGTGTGTGAGTGGCGTTATTCATGAGGTGGTTGTGGTGGTGAGTGGGGAACAGGTGGTGAGTGAGTGGTGAGGGAGAGACAGGTGGTGGTGAGTGTGAGGAGGGGAACAGTGAGGTGAGTGAGGGAGCGAGGAACGAGTGGTGGGGAACAGTGGTGAGGAACAGGTGGTGGTGAGTTGAGGCTGTGTTATCATTTATATCCGCTAACCACCAGCCTCCGATCCACACCTCTGCCGGGGCTCGCTGGTTCGGGTCAACTCAGGTCAACTCTCTCTCTCTCTCTCTCTCTCTCTCTCTCTCTCTCTCTCTCTCTCTCTCTCTCGGCTGCTTGTAAGAGTATTTGATAGGATTATAAATGATGGTTGTCGTACCAGATGAAGCAGTGAAATATTATCCTCACCACCAAATTCCTGCTAAACAGATTTTGTGGGAATTTCTGACCACTTCTTTGCATGAACTATATTTTCTCATCATCGGACTCATAAATATTTGACGGCTCTTTTGTCTGAGGGAAGTATTTACGAGTTATTATTAATGTTGGTGTTGGGGAGGCGGGTCAGTGCTGTTGGAGGGTGAGGGAGGGTGTTGGAGGGTGTTGTGGGGAGGGTGTGTGAGGAAGGGTTGTGGTGTGTGAGGTTGTGGTGTGAGGAGGTTGTGGTGTGGGGAGGGTTGTGGTGTGAGGGTGTGTTGTTGTGTGAGGAGGTGTTGTGTGGGGGTGTGTGTGAGGGTTGTGGTGTGAGGAGGTTAATGGTGTGAGGAGGGTTGTGGTGTGAGGAGGGTGTTGTGTGAGGGAGTTGATGCGCTCCTTCCCATCGCCAGCAGGAGCGGTGATGGCTAGGGCGCCCCCTCCCTCCTGTCCTCCCGCCCTTCCTCCAGCTGCTGGAGGCCGGGCACTCCGCCAGTGGGGGGTGGGGGGGTGTTGTGTGAGGAATACTCTGTGTTAAGAGAAGCTAATGGAGAGAGGGAGAGTGAAGGAGAGAAGTCAAGGTGATTGTTGGAGGAACAGTTATTGGTGAAGGAATATCAAAGGTTAAGTGACGCTTCCACCACTATTAACACTCCTCCCCCACCCCTCACCAAACTGCTACCGAGGCCCTAACCTGCCGGGGCCCTGACCTGCTGGGGCCCTATTCTACCAGGGCCCTGACCTGCCGGGGCCCTGACCTACCGAGGGGCCTGACCTGGGGCCCTGACCTGCTGGCGCCCTAACTCCAAAGCTCTGACCTGCCAGGCCTGACCTGCTGGGGCCTATTGCCAAGGCCCTGACCTGCCGAGGCCTGACCTGCTGGCGCCCTAACTCCAGGCCCTGACCTGCCGGGCCCTGACCTGCTGGCCCCTAACGCAGGCCTGACCTGCCGGGCCCGGCCTGCTGGCGCCCCTAACTCCCAGGCCCTGACCTGCAGGGCCCTGACCTGCTGGGGCCCCTAACTGGCCAAGGCTGACCTGCCGACGACCTAACTGCCAGAACCATGACCTCCCAGATCTATTACTGACGGGAGACTAAAGTGGAAGAGACTAAGAGTGGAGGAGACTAAGAGTGGAGGAGACTAAGGTGGAGAGACTAAAGAAGTGGAGGAGACTAGAGTGGAGGAGACTGAGAGGAGGAGACTAAGAGAGAGAGGAGAGACTTAGAGAGGAGGTGAGACTAAGAGAGGAGGAGACAAAAGTGGAGGAGACTAAGAGTGGAGGAGACTAAGAGTGGAGAGACTAAGAGTGGAGGAGACGAAGAAGAGGAGACTAAAAGTGGAGACTAAGTGGAGAGACTAAAGTGGAGAGACTAAGAGTGGAGACTGAGAAGAGGAGACTTGGGGGTGGACTAAGAGGAGGAGACTAAAGTGGAGACTAAGTGGAGGAGACTAAGAGTGGAGGACTAAGAGTGGAGGATAAGAGTGGAGACTAAGTGGAGGAGACTAAGAGTGGAAGAGACTAAAGTGGGAGACTAAGAGTGGAGGAGACTAAGTGGAGGAGAGCTAAGAGTGGAGACTAAGAGTGGAGACGAAGAAGAGGAGACTAAAAGTGGAGGAGACTAGTGGAGGAGACTGAGAGAGGAGGAGACTAGAGGAGAGACTAAGAGGAGGGTGAGACTAAGAGAGGAGGAGACTTGAGAGGAGGGTGAGGGACTAAGAGTGGAGGACTAAGAAGTGGAGGAGACTAAGAGTGGAGGAGACTAAGAGAGGAGGAGACTAAGAGGAGGAGCTAAGAGGAGGAGACTAAGGTGGGAGACTGAGAGGAGGAGACTAGGGAGGGCTAGAGGGAGGAGACTAAGAGGAGACTAAAGGGAGGAGACTAAGAGTGGAGGCCAGAGTTGCCTTGATGCCACTGTTGTTAGTAAATTAAAAGATTAATATTGGCGTCGTAGTGTTTGAGGTTAAACCTGGAGGCCGCCATCTCTACAGAGACACCTGAGGCCCCATCTCACAGACACACCTGGGGCCGCTATCTCTACAGACACAGAGGCCGCCATCTCTACACGGACACACCTAGAGCCGCCATCTCTACACGGACACACCTGAGGCCTGCATCTCTACACGGACACAACTGGAGGCCGCCATCTCTCGGACACCTGGGGCCGCCATCTCTACACGGACACCCCTAGAGGCCGCTATCTGCACGAGACACACCTAGAGGCCGCCATCTCTACACGGACACCCCTAGAGGCCGCTATCTCTACACACGACACACCTGGAGGCCGCCATCTCTACAGACACACCTAGAGCCGCCATCTCTACACAGACACACCTGGGCTCCATCTCTACACGGACACCCCTAGAGGCGCTATCTCTACACAGACACACCTGGGCCGCCATCTCTACACGGACACACCTAGAGGCCGCTATCTCTACACGGACACACCTGGAGGCCGCTATCTCTACACGGACACACCTGGATGCCGCCATCTTGCCGGAACACCAACACGGACGGTGGTGAGAGCCGCCATCTTGGACGAGAGAGCGGGCGCGGAGGGTGGTAGAAGAGGAGGAGGCACGGCAGGTGAATGTTTGGTCAATACAATGGGGAAAAGTTTGGAGCATGACGGGGAGAGGGAAAAGCCTGGATCCCATGTTAGTTAGCCATTTTGTGTAGACCAATACTGCCAGCTGTCAGGAGCCCGTGCCTGGGTGACCCCAGGCCAGGTGAAGGGGTGTGTGGTGAGATGAAGAGAGGTAAGGGTATGTGTTTGGTGAGGTGGGGTGAGGTGAGGTGAGGTATGTGTTTGGTGAGATGAGGTGAGGTAAGGGTATGTGAGGTGGGATGGGGTGGGGTGAGTGTGTGTTTGGTGAGATGAGGTGGGGTAAGGTATGTGTTTGGTGAGATGAGGGTGGGGGTGAGGGTATGTGTTTGGTGAGGTGAGGTGGGGTGGGGTGAGGTGAGGTGGGGGTATGTGTTTGGTGGGTGAGGTGGGATGAGTGGGGTGAGGGGTATGTGTTTGGTGAGATGGGGTGAGGGTGAGGTATGTGTTTGGTGAGATGAGGTGGGGTAAGGGTATGTGTTTGGTGAGATGAGGTGGGGTGAGGGTATGTGTTTGGTGGGATGAGGTGGGGAGTGAGGGTATGTGTTTGGTGGATGGGGTGAGGTGGGGTATGTGTTTGGTGAGATGGGGTGGGGTGAGGGGTATGTGTTTGGTGAGGTGAGGGTGAGGTGAAATTGTGTTTGGTGGGATGAGGGGTGAGGTGAGGGTATGTGTTTGGTGAGGTGGGGTGGGGTGAGGGTATGTGTTGGTGGGGATGAGGGTGAGGTGGGGTGAGGTATGTGTTTGGTGGGATGAGGTGAGGTGGGGTGTGTGTTTGGTGGGGTGGGGTGGGGGTGAGGGTATGTGTTTGGTGGGGTGAGGGGTGGGGTGAGGTGTGTGTTTGGTGAGGATGGGGTGGGGTGAGGGTATGTGTTTGGTGAGATGGGGTGGGTAAGGGTTTATGTGTGGGTGGGGTGGGGTGGGGTGAAGTTATGTGGTTGGTGGGATGGGGTGGGGGTGGGGGTATGTGTTGGTGAGGATGGGGTGGGGTAAGGGGTATGTGTGGGTTGAGGATGAGGTGGGGTGGGGTATGTGTTTGGTGGGAGGATGGGGTGGGGTGAGGGTATGTGTTTGGTGGGGATGAGGTGAGGTAAGGGTATGTGTGGGTGGGATGGGGTGGGGTGGGGTGTTTGGGTGAGATGAGGTTGAGGAGTGGGGTTTGTGTTTGGTGGGGATGAGGTGGGGTGAGGGGTGTGTGTGTGGTGGGATGGGGTGGGGTGGGGTATATGGTGGGATGAGGTGGGAGTGGGGTGTTGTGTTTGGTGAGATGGGGTGAGGTGAGGTATGTGTTTGGTGAGATGGTGGGGGTAGGGGGTATGTGTGAGGTGAGATGGGGTGGGGTAGTATGTGTTTGGTGGAGATGGGGTGGGGGTAAGGGTTGTATTTGGTGAGATGAGGTGGGTGGGGTATGTGTGTGGTGAGATGGGGTGGGGTAAGGGTATATGTGTGGTGAGATGAGGTGGTAAGGTGTATGTGTTTGGTGAGATGAGGGTGGGGTGAGGGTATGTGTGGGTGAGGTGGGGTGAAGTGAGATCGGAGAATCACAAGGATATAACTTTGGGGAGTCATGGGTTTGAGACCTTGAGGAAGAGGGGAGAAAATGGGGGGGAGGAGGAGGAGGAAGGAGGATGATGATGAGAAGAAGAAGGAGAGGAAGGAGGAAGGGTGACAGAACAGGTTTATAGGGCAGGGCTGAGGGTTAGGGGGAGGCTTTAGTTGGGGTACTACATAAGGGTTGAGAGGAGGATGCCCCGCCGGTGCTCCAGGGGGGATGGAGTGTCGGTGAGAGACGTAGGAGATCTTGTGTTATGTTTATGATATTCTTGAGGGAACTAATTGGCGATCTGTGTGGGTAGTGACGAGGAGTGACAGGTGTGGAGAGGTGGAGGAGTGATAGGTGAGGGTGTGGAGGCGGAGAGGTGGTGGAGTAACAGGTGAGGGTGTGGAGGCGGAGAGGTGGTGGAGTAACAGGTGAGGTGTGGGGCGGAGAGGTGGTGGAGTAACAGGTGAGGGTGTGGAGGCGGATGGTGTTGGGTGACAGGTGAGGGTGTGGAGGGTGACAGATGAGGGTATGGAGGCGGGTGGTGGAGGGTGACAGGTGAGGGTGTGGAGGCGGGTGGTGGTGGAGTAACAGGTGGGGTGTGGGGCGGAGGGGGTGGAGGAGTGACAGGTGAGGGCGTTGAGTATGGAGGCGGAGATGTGGAGGAGTGACAGGTGAGGGTGTTGAGTGTGGAGGCGGAGATGTGGAGGGCAAATTGCTTGTTAGTCGTGTATTGCCCAGCCTGAGACTATAATTGGGTTGTGGCTTGTGACTCTCCCGCCACGGCTCCCTATTGGTAGATGAATCGATGGTGATATATTGATATTTGGATCACCGGCGTCATTGGTTGGAGGAAAATAGGATTTATATCACACGAAAGCCTCTTGCTTATATGTAAAAATTACATATGTGTAATAGAATGTATTATTACCCGAGTGATTTACGCCGGCCAAACGGAATTTACCAAGCAGAAGAATTCGGGTACATGTTATGCTGATTGATTCCCAGCAGAATAACAGGTGTGGCAACACACCTGCCACACAGAATGACGATTACAAAAAAGTGTGGAGGAGAGGCAGCGCCCTTGACTGGTAACCTGTAAGCTGGAGCAACCTTTTCGCTGTATCGACGTATCGGATTTCGTGACTCAGTACCGATTTGGCTGCAAGTGGCTCGTTTTATTTCCCACAAATGGTACACACACACACTGGCAGCTTCAGCGTCGCCGCCGCCATCGCCGCCGCCGCCGCCGCCGCCACCATCACCACCGCCACTTGAATGCAGCGGATGTTGCCTGGGGTACGTCCTCCTCGCCGGCGGTGAAGCAGAGCAGATCGTCCTGGCATGGATGCTTACCAGACCTGGAGGAGGCGAGTCTTGCTGCCGCCCAAACTCTGCCGCCGGGTACGTGTGTTTGGATGGCACCCACTTCCAGGTGACACCAGCTACGGACCATGGGGCACTGCATCGCGGGGAGTTTTAAATGGCACTGGCGGGGTGCCAGAGTCCTAAATCACAGAATGAGAGTGAGTTTTCTGAGTTAAGTAGTTGGGGCATGGGACCTTGTCCTTGTGTACTGTACTGTACTGTGTTAGGGGCCAACAGAGGGTGGGCTAAGGGCCGGGGAGGAGGGTGAGAAGGTCAGGTAGTGGGTCAGGGCCGGGAAGGAGGGTGAGGAGGGCAGGCAGGAAGCCAGGTCAGAGGTACTGGCTGCAGGTAACTAAGGCGGCGCCACCGTCGTCCAACTTTCTCCCTGGGGTTCTCAAGTTAACTGTCATGTCATTGTTACTTTTTTACTGCATATTCGTTTAGTTGTGCTAATGAGAGGCTTTGTGACGCTATTAGAATGCAGTTATTATGAAAATGCTTATTGTCATGCCATTGATGTTTGATACGAATTATATTTGTGAGCTAAACCTTGTGTTCTCCACAGTTGTGTCATTCTAGTAAATTTTTATCCCAGTTGATTGTTGTTGCTTCAGCCCCGGGCCGGACACTGAACTTGTACACGAGGTTTTACTTGTGATGGTTAGTGTTGGTGCTGGGGAGCGGCGGTGGCCCTGCCAGCGGCCCGCCCGAGCCTGACCCTGCAGGCCGGCCACCTCGGGCGCCGCCGCCGCTGCCAGGACCCGCGCTGCTACACTAGTCCCCATTGTGGCGGAGGATAAACCGTGGCTTTTATTCTCCTTGCAGACTGCCAGAGCCGAAACTCGCGAGCCGAGCCGGGCAAACAGGTCTCCTCTTCCACCACCTCCTCCTCCTCTTCCTCTTCCTCCTCCTCTCACTCTTCCTCTGCCAACCACTCATCTTCCTCGTCCTCCTCGACTTCCTCGTCTTCTTCCTTGAGCAGCAGTAAACTGCCCCCCGGCCCTCCCCGGTCGTGTCCCCCCCAGCACCGCCCCAGCTACCCGCCCACCTACCCCGCCCACGCCCACGCCCATTACCAGGCTCAGGCTCAGGTTCACGCCGGGCAGGCTCACGGCTTGGCTCACGGCCCGCCACAGACTCAAACTTATGGCGCCTGCTATCTTGGCTCGGCCCCGTCCCACCACTTTGCTCAGCCTAGTTCTACTCCACTCTTCTCGCTTCTACAATAGATAGTGAGTGAAACCCCTTTCATAAGACAGACCCACTGTGTGTCACCCCTAGTGAAGCATCAGCAGCAGCAGCAGCAACAAACTTAACAGTAATAGTCGCTTTATATGGCTCCTCCCTGTCCACCCTGGCAGTATTACCCCTCCCTCCCTTCACCTGTGTCTTGCCGTAGTAAAACAGCCACATTTGTCTCTCGTTGTGGTGTCCTCCCTCTGCTACCCCTTAAATCCCTTGCATCACCCCTTTTAAATCCCATGCACCCCCTTAAACCCCTTGCATCACCCCTATTGTTGTTCCTCCTACACTATGATATGCCTGATTCACTTCATAAGCTCTGTCCTTGCTAGTTGGTAATTCCTCCTCCCTCTCGAGCTCCCTTAACCTTGCTAGTTGTCATGTCTTAGTAATAGTACCTCCTCTCCCCTGTAAGATAGTACCCCTGTGTCAATACTCCGTGTCAGAACCCCAGTGTCAGTTCCCCCGTGCCAGCACCCCAGTGTCAATACCCTTGTGTTATACCCCCGTGTGTCAGTACCCCCTGTGTCAATACCCTTGTGTCAATACCCCTTTTTATCAATGCCCCAGTCAATCCCCTGTCAATACCTGTGTCAATACCTTTGTCAATACCCCCTGTCAATACCCTGTGTCAATACCCCGTGTCAATACCCCCTGTGTCAATACCCCGTCTCAATACTTGTGTCAATACCCTTGTGTCAATACTCTGTGTCACACCCCTGTGTCAATACCCTTGTGTCAATACTCCTGTGTCAATACCCTGTGTCAATACCCCCAGTGTCAATACCCCTGTGTCATACCCCCGTGTCAATACCCCCTGTGTCAGTACCCCCGTGTCAATACCCCTGTGTCAATACCCCCCGTGTCAATACCCCTGCGTCAATAATCTCTGTGTCAATATCCCCTGTGTCAATACCCCCTGTGTCAAACCCCTGTGTCAAAACCCCTGTGTCAATACCCGTGTCATCAATACCCTGGTGACACACCCCCATGTCAATATTCCGTGTCAATACCCCCTGTGTCAATACCCCTGTGTCAATAACCCCCTGTGTCAATACCCCGTGCACATACCGCGTCAATACCTCCCGTGTCACACCCCTGTGTCAATACCCCCTGTGTCAATACCCCATGTCAAACCCCCCGTGTCAATACCCCGTGTCAATACCCCCGTCAGTACCCCTGTGTCAGTACCCCCTGTGTCAATATCCCCTGTGTCAATACCCCCGTGTCAGTCAATTCCCCGTGTCAATACCCCTGCATAATACCCCTTGTGTCAGTACCCCCGTGTCGATACCCCCGTGTCAATACCCCCGGTCAATACCTGTGTCAATACCCCCGTGTCAATACCCCCCAATATCATCCTGTGTCAGTACACCCCTGTGTCAATACCCCCTGTGTCAATACCCCCTGTGTCAATACCTCCCGTGTCAATACCCCCGTGTCAATACCCCGTGTCAGTACCCCCTGTCAATAATTCTTGTCAGTACCCCCTTATGGCAGTACCCCTGTATCAATACCCCGTGTCAGTACCCCCGTGTCAATACCCCCTGGTCAATACTCCCGTGTCAATACCTCCTGTGTCAATACCCCCTGTGCCAATACCCCGTGTCAGCACCCTGTGTCAATAATTCCTGTGTCAATACCCCCGTGTCAATACCCCCTGCAATACCCGTGTCAGTACCTGTGTCAATACCCCTGTGTCAATACCTCCCTGTGTCAATACCCCCTGTGTCAATACCCCAGTGTCAGTACCTCATGTCAGTAATTCATAATCCCCCTGTGTCAATACCCTGTCAATACCCCCGTCACTCTGTGTCAATATCCCCTGTGTCAGTACCCCATGTGTCAATACCCCTGTGTCAGCATCTCCCGTGTCACATCCCTGTATCAATATTCCCCTGTCAGACCCCTGTGTCAGCACTCCTGTGCCAATACCCCGTGCCGCACCCCTGTGTCAGTACTCTGTGTTCCCCTGTTCATACACCCTGTGTCAATATTCCCCGTGTCAGTCCCCTGTGTCAGTACCCTTATTCGTGTCAATAATTCTGTGTCAGTACCCCTGTATCAGTACCCTTTCCAATACTCTGCCAGTACCCCATGTCAGTACCCCCATGTCAGTACCCTGTGTCAATACCCCGTGTCAGCAATTCCCTGTGTCAGTACCCCTGACAATGCCCCTGTCAGCACTCAATTCAGCACCTGTGTCAATACCCCTTGTGTCAATACTCCTTGTCTCACCCCGTCAGTACCCTTGTGCCACCTGGCGCACCCCTGTCACACCCCCTGTGTCAGTACCCTGTCATACCCCTGTGTCAGTAATTCTCAATCAGCACTCCAATGCCCTCTGTGTCAGTACCTCAGGCTAGTACCCCGTGTCAATACCCAGTTAAATCCTGTCAGCACCATGTGTCAGTACCCTGTCAATACTCAGTCAGCACCCCTTGTGTCAGTACCCCTTGTGTCAGTACCCTGTCAATAATTCGTGTCAGTACTCAACTGGCACCCTGTCAATACCTCCTGTGTCAGTACTCCAACTGCACCCGTGTCAATACCCCTTGTGTCAGTACCCTTGTGTCAGTAATTCCCGTGTCAATACCCACTGTGTCAGTACCCCGTCAATATCCCTGTCAGACCCTCCTGTGTCAGTACCCTGTGTCAGTACCCTGTGTCAATACCCATGTGTCAGTACCCTCTGTGTCAGTACCCCATGCCTGTGTCAATACCCCTGTGTCAGTACTTTGTGTCAGTACCCCGTCAATACCCACGTGTCAGTACCCCGTGTCAATACCCACGTGTCAGTACCTCCTGTGTCAGTACCCTTGTGTCAGTACCTCCTGTGTCAGTACCCATGTGTCAGTACCCATGTGTCAGTACATCAGTGTCCGGTTAACGTAAGGTTTTGATGAAGGCATCATGTACTAAACGTTAAGCGAACACTGACTGTACATGTATCACTGCTTGTTGAGGCATATGTGTCACCCCTTGCCCCCGTTATATCCATATGCGTCCTGAGGTCCCCCATGTGTCTTCTGTCGTTGTCTTCCCTACCCTTGCCCCTGTGTCCTTGCCTGTCCTACCTTGCCTTTAATCTTGCCCCTGCCTGCTCCCACCCCTGCCCCTGCCTGCCCCACCCCTGCCCCTGCCTGCTCCCACTCCCTGCCCCTGCCTGCCCTACCCCTGCTCCTGCCCATCCCTACTCCTATCCCTGCCTGCCCTGCTCTGCCTCTGCCCTACCCCTGCCCTGTCTCTGCCCTGTCCACCCCTGGCTCTGGTTCTGCCCTACCCCCTGGTTCCGTTCTGCCCCCACCTCTGCCCCCTGCTCCCACCTCTATCCCCTGTTCGTTCTGTCTCTGCCTTTGTCCTAACGTGACATTCCATACCCTCTGCCAGTTTTTTCACCTCACAGCAAGTTTTTCTCCACCACCCCATGACACTCTCCTGTCACGAGTAGCTGTCATACCTGTCACTTTCCTCCCTGTTATACTTGTCACTCTCCTCTCTGTCATACCTGTCACTTTCCTCCCTGTCATATCTGTCACTTTCCTCCCTGTCATATCTGTCACTTTCCTCCCTGTCATATCTGTCACTTTCCTCCCTGTCATACCTGTCACTTTCCTCCCCGTCATATCTGTCACTTTCCTCCCTGTTATACCTGTCACTTTCCTCCCTGTCATACCTGTCACTTTCCTCCCTGTCATATCTGTCACCCCTGTCCGTAATGGTTGTTTTGGCTGTCCCTTGCTTAACGTAGTCTGCCTAGCTTGTGTGTGTGTGTGTGAGTGAAGATGTACATGCCTGTGTATGTTTATATATATATATGTGTGTGTGTACATGCGTGTATGTATCTGCCTCTGTGTGTGTGTGTGTGTGTGTGTGCACTTCGTAACGGGCCACAAATACGCACATATGCCTGCGGCCTATACCTTTGTGATAAACCTGTATTTATTGTCCCTCTTATTGTTGTGTTGTGTGTTCATATGTTAAGTGTTGTGTAGTCCAGCCTAGACCCAGTCAGTCCCTCCCAGATACTGTGATGTTGTCCTCCTCTTCCTGATTATCGATGATTAGGAACGAAGAGAGAAGAGAGAGAGAGAGAGAGAGAGAGCTAAACCCCCGGCACCAATCACAGAGCGTAGCCGTCATGACTAAACAAGGCAGTTAAAGCGTTGTGATAGAAAGAGAGAGTTATACAAACAACAGTCAAGGGAGGGACTGTGAATATTATTATTGTGATTATTATTATTATTATTATTATTATTATTATTATTATTATTATTATTATTATTATAACCCGAAAATAATGCGCGATCGACTTGTTAACACCACCTGTACCACCTATAATACCACCTGTACTACCTATAACACCACCTGTACCACCTATAATACCACCTGTACTACCTATAACACCACTAATGCCAAAACTTTTACTACACCACCACCTTTACTACACCACCAACTTTACTACACCACCACCTTTACTAATTCACCACCTTTACTACACCACCACCTTTACTACACCACCACCTTTTACTACACCACCACC